CCTTTGTAAAACAAGAATAACAAAGGTTATAGAATGATGTAATTTTATTCTCTATGGTATGCTTTAATTCATCCACATACTCACTGATCTGTACAAAAACTAATTGTTTTGCTTAGTCAAACAGTATGTTAACGCGATACTTAATAATATATAAATGAGAGTATTTGAAGCGTAGTTGAAGTCTAGACAACTATAATAACCTATGAAATATATCGGGTATCTAAACGTTAAGTTATTAACTGAATTCCATATTAATTAGTCTATTTATCTTATTTTGATGATTATTGAAATATAATTAAGTCAATTGAAGATAGATCACCATGGAAAACATGGAAGCACTGAACGGCCATTTCGTTCTATTGTGGGACTCCTCAGAAGTGCTCATCCACGATTCCGCCTCGCGAGATTCGAACCCAGGACCTACTAGTCCCCCACGAGCGCTTAACCACTAGACTACTGATCCGGCATCCAACGCTGTTAAGGTCTAACTTCATCTAATCCACGAAATTGAGCGACATCCACCATTGTCATCAGTGAGTTACTATCTCACAATTGACCCGGTTTAACTCCACTGATCACTGCTTCTCACTAGGACTCCGGGATATACCTCTTGAAGCCAGACACTAGTGAGCATATGTTGATTCATATCAGAAAGGTTTTTGTGGATATTATAGTAATTTCAATGGTTGAGATTGTAAGTCAATTGAAGCTATCACGAGCTCACTTGATCTGCGAACGAGAACAAGACTCGATGACCAAAGACCAGTAAGCTAGCTATTGATGCGTCCCAGCCCCGCTAACTAAAGGGAGAAGTCCAAGCTTGGAATGGCAAGAAACGAGCGATAACAACAAATAATTCAAAACGTGTATATGTAGTGCAAAGCCATCCTTGGGGAGAGTTACCAAATAGCATACTAAAAGACGCAACGGGGTCATGATCTATTGGAAATACTACAATCTCCACAAAATCCCTTCTGATATAATTAAGTGTTGAATATATTTTGTGCAATTAATTACTTTCTTAGATTTAAATAAAATAAGAATGATAATGTGTGTAGAATACAGTGAATTCATTTTATCTCATTATTTTCTCTTTATTATATATAAATTAATAAATTTAGTTATTATCAATTATGTAAGAAAATTGTAGCTTGAAGAAATGAGTTACTTATCAATAAAGAATACGTTAGATGAAAAATAATTAAATATATGGAAACCCTGTGAAAACTTTAACTCTTTTCTTAATCTACATTCCAAATGATGTATTATTTATTTATTAACATTTAGGTGAGACTGTTATTTATGGATAAATCCATCAGATTTAATATAACAGATCTTGAATTTTGGCACGAAATTCATTCTTTCATTTGTCTAAATAGCGTTATGGCATTTTAGCTGATGTCAGTTCGTGATAAAAATCATAAACCTAATTCTTAATCCTAACCATCAGTTGTAAATCATAATCCCTATTCTTTATACTACTTTTTAATCCTCATTTAGCCCTAGTAAGTAAGTGGACATTCTTAAAGTCACTAAGGCGTCACTCAAAGGTCGTGCATCAATTATAGTTTCACTAACGATTCATTTATTCAAATTATAAACTATATTGATATTTTTAAATCATTCAAATTACCAGCCTGTATGTAGCTAAATAAAAAAATAGCGAAATGCAATGAATCTATCGTATTCCATAAACATTGTCCTTTTTGACTTCGTTCCAAATTCCGTATATTTTATTTACCAATTTATTTTTATTATTGGTGTTGGATAGTTTCAGTGTATAAAGTTTAGTTGATTTCATTTTAATGACAAAATATTACAAACATTACATCATAATATATAGTGGTAATTTGATTTACATTTGACTGGATGATGCTTTTTCAACTTTATTCACTTACAGTTTACTAAGTTAGATATTCTAATTATTTTATGATATTTTATCTCTTTATATACATTTCATGTGTCTTATGCATCATAAATAAAAATAAATGAATAGAATTTAGTTAATTCATTACTTTTATAACTTGTCATCAAATAATAAAATACATTTTAACTTCAGGTAAGTAAATATTCACAATGTAATACAAATGATACTGATTTTTTTATCTGGGTTAATTCATAACAGATCTGATATGTACAAAAATGAGTTCCCTTTTTCATTTGTTAATTTTATGAGCAAGAAATAGACCATTTATTCCTAAAAGATATTGGTATCCGTTAAGTTTTCAATGTTCACTAAGTGTGATTTTTGTGACCCTATATCTGACTCCAGTTTGATCATTTCTAAATGCATGTCGCCAATCCTCGTATATAATTATCGACTTAATCCGCGTTGGTGAATAACGAAATTAAATAAGCCAAATACAAGAATTTTGAATGTGTATATTTTGTACACTCATTGATTTGAACAGATAATCAAAGGAATGAAGAGAAGAGAGCGAAGCAAGATGACACACAGTGAAGAAGGTGTGTGAACCAACTCCGTTTGACCAACCGTTAACCAATAAATTGATAGTTACAACTAAGTTACAGACATATGATGAGTGGGATAAGATGTACACACAAATACGCTCATTTAAAAACAGTCAGGGTTGATAAGTCAATAATTGGCCTCTTCAGAAGCTCGAATAAGTTATGTAGGCTTAACGTAGTAGTCGACATTACATGCAATATTTAGTGCCTTCGCGTATTTTTTTCCTTCATTTGGTGGGTTGTTGCCTCATATTGGGATGTAATTTTCACTAACAACATTTTAAAAAACAGTTGTTATCGTCAGCTGTCTGTTGGTAAAAAGTCAGTGTCACGCATCTGAACATGTCAGATTAAAAAAGAAAATATTTTGAATGGCAGGGCTTGAGAAATATATCCCTATGTACCGTTTAACTTTAAACTGAAATGAGGAAAGTATGTTACGATACTTCTTCAGTAAGTCAGTCAGCAACAACGTAGAACTTCTTACGTACGTACATCGGTTCCAGTTGCCATACCACATATCACACAGATACAATTGTCGATTCAAATCCTATAGTGGTAGAGGTTGTAAAAGTGTAATCAGTAATCGGAAAGATTAGTGTTTAAAGATGTTATTCAAGGAATATAATCCAGTGAAATTAATTTTGAAGGAGAAAAAAACGGACATGACGAATTCAGAAAATTAGAATTTGGGAGAACACAAAGAGTGGATGCACCTGCACCATTGCAAACGATTTTGAGCCATGTCATTCAAGGTCTCTAATTATCGGTTGAGATCATCTCGCGGCCCCCCACCAGGTAGTCTACACCTACCAACATGGCTCAGCCCACTGGTCAGTGACTTCATGGATTTGTGCCATGTTTTGGTCTGGTCGCCCCTGGCTTTCTTCCAACCTACTCCTACATCATAAAACATCGCACGTCGGGTCAGTTGGTGGTTGGGCATACGTAATACGTGTCCTAGTCATCTCAACTGATGAGGTTTCACTAATGCATCAATTGATTCGCCATCCTTACCTAATACCCGTTTCCTAATAACTGTATTACTTACTCGGTTGTCCCATGATATATGAGAAATTTTTCGATGACACCTATGATCGGACATTAGTAACCTACGAATATCCTCTACTCTTACAGGCCATGTTTCACAGACATAAAGTAGGATGGAACGAATTGCTGCGCAGTAAACCCGTCCTTTGGTTGGTCGCCGACGCCAAAAATGACGCAAGTTGTCAAAAGCTTGTCAAGCCTTTTGTATCCGTGCTGAGATTTTATCACCCACCAGACCACAAGAGCTGATGAGACTCCCAAGATAAGTGAAGTGGTTGACACACTCAACTGCTTCACTCCCTATCATTAGTTCTTACCCACTTATGAAACTTATTATTCATATCATGTTATGGTGTTTAAGAATTGATAACTTCTCTTTAATCTACGTATGAAGATTATAAATTTTAAAATATAGTAAAAAATTATTACAATGCTAAGGTAAATATTCAAATTTTTCAGTCTTCAACGAAAATAATGTGAATAAATTTTAATACTAAAGTAGATCAAGTGATTTAGACTATACATTGAAATTATTTAGAACACTAAAGTTTATAAATTAATGTTAATATTAACAGTATATACCTTTGTTTCATCATCAAATCATATGGAATTCAATATTGAAAATATTCATTCTAAAACAATGCATTATACAAAAGTTTTTCACTATTTCCTTTGTAATTGTATTTCATGATATTATCCAACTATTGAGTGAGTGATACAATCAAAGGGTCTGAATATTAAGTAATATTTAGTTCTTTCGTTATTTATTGATGACAAAAGTAAAAAGTACATCATACATCAAAATTTCTTATTATAAAGTTCACACTAGACATAAAGATGGGTAATCAAATAATATCGATAGTTCTCATACAACATAAGTGATTAATACAAAGCAGTATATTTACAATCCATAATGAGTATCTGTTGACCATAATAAACTATATTAACTAGATGTATTATGTTAATTTTAGAAATAAGGTTTATGCCTTCCGCAACAAGAATGCTGAATATGAATTAAACTAGATTTATTAATTTTTAATAGCTAACAATCTTGAACTTCTATTAATGAGGAAAAGGGTTAATTGAATTTAGAACATTTCTAATTTCATTATTGGAAGTAAGGGATTATAACTAGATATGCGTAACCTAAATTATTAGGTTAATTTAAAATTAATTTCCTTTTATTATGTTAAGTTAATTCAGATTCCATAAAATAGGATTCTACATTTAATTAATGAACAATACGAAAATAATATGAACTGATCAACATTAAAGATCATAATTTGTTGAATTAATCAATTAGTACTTTTAGCAAAATAAATACATGAAGATGATGTATTGGTTATTTTTATAATTTCATTGACTTGATTAACCACAAAGATTATTAATTGTATATGCTTAAAATAAAATCATGAATTAAATTGATTTCCAAATGAAGGATTTCCCAAGAATATATGCAATAGAGATGAGTTTCGGTTGCAGAATTGTTGGATTGTGTACACTATTAGTATTCCAGAAGTAAAACATTTAATTGTAAATTGTATGAATATACTTCGCCATCATACATAAGAAATTTACTATAATCGTGTGTGAGAAATATTTAAATTATTTGATATGACTTTATATACCATCAAACTTACAACTAATAAACGCATAAATGACCTGAACAGTATACAAATTGTAGACGCATCCTCTTTCAAAGCTAAACTTAATAGTTAGTCTAAGGTGCCTAAATATATTGATCATACATGTCTAGTTTCTGGATACCTGTTTAGACCCTACCCACCTTCAACATCTTTTCATACACATAGTTCCCTTTATCATTTTGAAAAGAGCAAGAACAAAGATTCTAGCAGAATATCATGAATTCATTTTATTTCGTAGGTTCTCGTCAGATGCTTACAACCTGTGATATTTAAAAATCATAATTACATAATGGGTTTAAATTGCTAACTGAATATTGTAAATATATACTTAATGTGAAAGAATATTCTACAACATAGAGTCAATGATGTAATAAATGCAAAAGAAAAAGAAAATAAAATTTTATGGTGCAGTGAAGGAATATTTGTCACCAGGGCAAGGAAAGATTAACGGTTGATTGTTTCTAACCCACTTTTGAACTGTTGTCACAATTAATGTTGTAGAATATTCTTTCACATTAGGTATATATTTACAATATTCAGTTAGCAATTTAAACCCATTATGTAATTATGATTTTTAAATATCACAGGTTGTAAGCATCTGACGAGAACCTACGAAATAAAATGAATTCATGATATTCTGCTAGAATCTTCGACATCTTTATCGATCACGGTAATCTCACACAGACATATACAATGGACAGCTTGGATGCAACTAGACGATATGGACTTCACAGATGACCTGACCCTTCGATCCCATACACACCAACAAATGCAGGTCAAGACAACCGGTGTAGCAGAAGCCTCTGCATCAGTAGGCCTTGACATATACAAAGGAAAAAGCAAGATCCTCAAATGTAACATAGAGAGCACCAACCCAATCATAATTGATAGATAAACTATGGAACATGTGGAAAGCTCCACTTACCTGGGCAGCATCATCGACGAACAAGGAGGATCCGATGCAGACGTAAACATAAAGACTGGCAAATCAAGGGCAACGTTCCTACAGCTGAAGAACATATGGAACCCAAAACAAGTGTCAACCAATATCAAAATCAGAATCTACAATACGAACGTCAAGACAGTTCTACTGTACGGAGCTGAGACTGAGAAATAATGCAACCATCGCCGATAGTTATATATATACATACAACGTCCGGTTTTCTCCCACACAAATGGTACGTTAATTTAGTTTAGATAAATATCTACATTATATACTCTCCCAGTGTTTATTAGACAGGACGTCAGAACAACCTGGACTAAGGACACGTGACTGGCCTAACTAGAATGTGAGTATATCTCCACGTCAACAAACATAATAATAATAAAGATAGAAAAATATATAACTCATCTAATGCATATATATATATATATATATATATATATATATATATATATATATATATATATATATATATATATAGAGAGAGAGAGAGAGAGAGAGAGAAGTACAAGAGAAGGAATATCGGGGCATCAATTAGCGTATTTAAAGAATCTTTCTCACATTGGACCAAATGGTATCATAGCTCGATATGGTATCATCCATCATATACGATCCATATAATAAGTATTCAAAACTATCAGTAGAGAGAAAAATTCTACTATATTCACTGAAGTTATTAGCGATTTAGAAACGATATTAGTTTCTCCAATAATAGCAGTAAACAAGTCCTTTCCTCTCTTAACTACGATTTCAGTTCAGTGAACTTATTTTGAAATATCTGTCATTTTTTCTTACCAACCTGTTTTTAGAAATTCGATTACAAGGCATAATGGAACCATCTATCCGAATATTTCAAAAACATCACCTCAGTTGATAAAAAATCTTCCTTCAGAGTTACTTTTCATCTTCAAATAGCATTCTACCTCTTTTTTCCCAGACAATTTATTGAATGATTCGTATCTGGATTTCCGAATATGTTAATAATTCAATTTACTGTCATAAATGTAACTGAAGAGAACACAATAAATTGATAATATTGTCTGCAAACCCTGTCGTTTTTTGTTAGTACTAATATTTTTGTACAAATCATTAAACGTACGCCATAAGGACCGAACTGTTATCAAATTTGTGATTGCAACATTTACAAACAATCTACTTACATAGTGCTTTGAATCGATACAGCCACAAAAACCACGATATTTGGTGGCCGAACATTGAAAGGTAAGCATAAAACTGAAAATCTTTCAAGTAGTTCATAAAAACTAAGAAACACAAGAAAGATTCAATTTTGTTATGTGGAGAGTTGTTATGAAGATAATACATTTACAATTTAATTGGCATGTGAGCCTTTTACTAATAAAAAAGCGCAATAAGTGATTCTCACTATAGAAATAATAAGAGACCGGTACTAATAGTAATTTTTTATAACAACGAAAAAGTGATCTAATTAAATCCATACTAACATGGATACAAGGGCAAAAAAAATAAATATATGGACTGTAAAAATGCTTGCTAAAATACTTATAGTACACGACAGATAAAAATATTATGAAACTATAGGATACTGTAACGCAGATTTTAGGAAAAAAATAATCTAAAAGGAAGAAATTGTTCTCTACATGTCGGGAGAAAGAGGTTAGTTTGTTTATTACACATAAGAAAACAGACAGACTACGACGGAGAAAGATAAAATAAAATTAAGGGTTACTAACAATCATATATGAATGTCTAGACCATCTAAAAAGAATATAACAAGCGACTAGAGTAGAGGTTAGAGAGACGGCATTATGCAGTATTTTTCGTCTTCCATCATCTCGATGAACTAAAACCACTGGACGTAATGGAGGACTATTTGAATTGGAATGATTCTCTGCAATGATAGCTCGAGCACGCTTTCCATTGCTCATTTCCGAAGAACCACTGGGGCTTTCACCGTTGCTCATTCCGCTGCCTGGCGAATTATCATCTGGATGTGAATTCGTCAATGCATGACTACTACTTGTTACAAAGGAAGCTGTTCCAACTGGCAGAGATGCTAGCGATGGTGCAACTTGATACTTACAGCATGGATCCCATTGCCAAAACAATGCGTATAATCCTGCAGCAGAGGCACTAATTGCACTCAATGTAGTTGTAATAAATCGTATAACACTTGGTGTGATTGTAATCAAGGCACCACTTGTTCGAACAGTAGGAAACAAACGAATACCGAGGTCTAACGGAAAGTATACTTTAGAAAATGTAGAATTCCACATCAAACCAATGCCAGCTGTAGTTACAGCAGCTATTCCTGTGAAAACGATAAGCAAATTTAAAACGAAACATATTCAGTTTTTGGTCATCAGTATTATATATTAACAAAAGTCAGTACACATTTATTCTAAATACTCCTACAAATAAATCCGTTACGATCGATCTTTTTTAACTTACATGTGTCAAAATAATTGACAAATCAACACTCATCACCAGTGAGTTAAAAAATGATGGCCGTTTTTAGAAAATAAAAATTTATATTTACATTTATAAGAGTATGGAATGAAACTACGCACGGTTATATACGTTTGGTAAAAACATTAACAATATTTATTCGCATTTTAGAATCCGTAAATAAGTACAAATATTAATCTTTAGGTCATAGCTGCTATATGAAGAATGTAGATACCAACTGGGCACCCAAAATGAAGCATACGAAGAAAGGTTTAGACAGGCAGTTTGGCAATTCGAAATCAATTACAACTGAGCTATAACCCCATAGGAATGTTAAGATTATCTAACAAATGAGCACATGTTACTGGCCACTAAACTTTATTCATCGTTATGTGCCATTTACTCGTGTATGGGTATCCCTAGCAAGCATTGGATTTGGCTGACAATGAAAAGTGAATACTTCACTGTGTTTCAATTGAATACTCAGAAGGTATCTGAAATAATGGGTGAATTAATGCAAATTAAGTAGAACAGTATAATAGTTAAGGCTGCCAGACAATAGTATCTACATTTATTCTTTACCTTGTAAACCTTGAGTTTTGTATCATATTCTATATTTCACTCTTGACCACATTTATTCTTACTGAGTTAAATTTTTAATATTTAGACTCCCAATGAAGTTGATGTTACTTACCCTCATATGTTACTCAAATTAGTAATTTTTCTTTCTGTTTCTTCAGATACTAAGTTTGCGAATTGTCTTAAATTTTTTACTACCCCACGAATTAGTATTTCCTTATAGAATTGTATATTCTGCAATTAATATTTCCTATTATCGCAAGAACTGTTACCACATCTACTACCCCATTATTTATCTTGATAATTTGATGCCGTTGTACTGATGTGGTGTGAAAACTTTTAAAGAAGCACAAGTGCCCCAGCTTCGACGTTGTTCATGAATGACTCTCTACGCTGATGTAAATTGTGGGAATTTAGACAATCAGACATTTTTACTAGATCTCACGTTGTTTATGGATAATTTGTGCTACACTGTAACTTGGGTATAATTAACGAATTATAGAACTGGATATTATTTTAACCTTACTAATATGAATGCGGCATTTTTGACTCTGCAACATCAACGAAATGTTCAAAAACCACGATTCTGTTTAGCAACAAACAGATCCTAGGCATATGATGTACACAATACAGTCACCTCCCATTCAGCAATGAGTGGGGAGAATCCCTACGAAGTAATCTTGTACTATGATGATAAAGGTTTGAACAGTAGCTTTCGGAACACATAACTCGGGAAACAAGGTGAGATATTTTGTAGACGGTTATCAGTAAATAAGGCACTTCATTATTTCGAATGCAGTAAAAAACACAATGAAACTATAATTGGCGATGATGGTAAAATGCTAAAAATCTTACCTGATATAACAGCTGTTTTATGTAACCAGTTACCCGTACGAATCCATCGCCACGTTACTTCACCGAGAGATTCTGGTTCAATAATGACCATACACACTTTACGACTTAGTACAAAATCTAATTCACGTTCAAAGTCTTCAGGAGAGTGGCTATGATTGTATATTGCACGAATGATGGCATATGTCTTCTTTCTATTGACAATAGCCTTAAAGAAAACCCGAACGTTTTGTTTAATGAGTTATAATGATACAAAACTAGACTTTACAAACTCAGTCGATGAATATTTGGGTAAAAAAGGACAATAGAGCAATGAAAAGCTAACCACATAAACAATATATTTTTCAGAACACAGCGGTACCATATATATAAGTAAACTAGAACTAAGTTTGTTATTTTCTACAACAATGATATAAAATGAGTACAGATAAAACGTGCAAACTTGATTTATTGCATTTTGTGAAGTTGATACTTTTTGGTCGCTCACTGATGGAGTTAGAGATTTGTGATTTGAGGTGTTGATTTCAAGTCAAATATTTCCCTATCGTCCCTACTTTTTCAGCTTATATGCATGCTATAACAATGCTTAATAAACAAGGTACGGTCGAGTGGGGGAGAGTCAGCTCTCCCTCTTGAAATGCTCTCACATGACCACGCGTAAACAACCACTGCCAGGGAAGTTCTGCTCACTACCTCCTTGTGGGAGGGGTGTTATTTACGAGATTGAGAGGACGAAAAGCGAATCTCCAGTGCTTTAACCGGGTTATTGGGTATGGGAGCTCTAACTAGAGGAGTTGGAAAATTCTGATTCCAAACCAATAGTGCACATGGGCTCCAGTATCCTGAAGGAACAAATGGCGTATGAACCTATTGTTGGTCACTGGCTACGATTGGGCTGCATCTCCTAACGTTGTTCCACTGCTTTGTGGATTAGACCTTTGGGTTAAAGGCTCGGGGAGTGACCTCCTAAGAAGACCACCTCCCTCTGTTTGGGCACCCTGGCAGTATCACAGTCCTTACAAAAATCAATCATAACTACTACTGGACTTATTGTGTGGCGCATATATTTGGCGCTCCCTTGTACCAGTGCTTGTGTTCAAATAATCAAAACTTATCTCTATAAGATAGTTACAATGGGAACGTTTGATTACTGAATTTGGCGAGACTCTAATTTATGGACGAGCGATTCAGAGGCGTTTTAGAGCTTTCAAGGTTACGGCGCCAACTTCAGTACCTAATGCTAACGTATGATCGATTTACAGGGAATTTTGTAAAAAACGTGATAATTGAGCGGCTATAGCAAATAAAACGGTTCGACTTTAATTTATGGACGAATCAATCAGGTAAAAGATAATAGATTTCGGACTTTAACGCGAAAGCCTTTCATCCATTTGGCTAAATAAATTTCTGGTATTATAGCTGATGTCAGTTTGTGATGAAAACCCTATATGTAATTCCGAAGTAAGGCAAATTGTGACAATTATTGCGAACTGGATAATAAAAGCACCAGTAACACTGGCTGCAGCTATGTACCACAATATATACTGATGTTTGGAGTGTACAGACTCCTACATAGGCTTGGTTATGTGCATCGTGCCGTTATCCACAAGTAGCATTTTGTGCACTCAACAACCGGAGTGCACATAAACAATGTTGAAGCTATGTGGTCGAGGCTGAAAGAGTTTTTGAGACTTTGTCACGGCTCCAGAGGCCGGCTATTTTGTAGCCGTATGGATGATTTCCTCTACTGCATGTATTACGATTTTAGAACCTTCAAACCTCTTTTTAACTTTGACAAGGTTTTGAACCACGTATAAGAAGTGTATCCACTTTAGTTCCTTGGTTTTGTATAACATATTTTTACTTTGTACTGACTGTTTGCTGATTGGCTAATATTTCTCAAGGTCACTTATGATTCGTTCAAAGGTCGTCCATAAATTAGTCACGCCCTGAAATTAAGTGGAAGCTATAGTCGAGACAAAAGGTGAATGGATATAAAACTGGAAAAAACACTAAGGAGCTACTTAATCAATCTTAAGCATTTTATTTATTTGAACACATGAGTATTGGTACAAAGGGGGCACCGAATACATATGGGCCACACAAGTCACTTGATTTGTGTGTGGGCTGTAAAACTGCCTGGGTGCCCATACCAAAACAGGTTCTTTAGCAACACCCTTCTGATAAGTGAGCACTTTTTCACTATAAACTGATACTCAATGAAAAACCAATCAAAATTAAGAATTACCGGGTGGACGTTTTGGTCCAAATTGGAGCTCCTTAACATTACACAAAATACCGAACCCAGAATTTTAGGATTTTGTAGTAAGCACAACCCATCAGTTGTTGGGCAGCTGAACAATAGCTTATAATTCGAATCTAGGCACTAGCGCTTTATTTTTGGACTTAGATCCCATTCTCACATAAAGAAACTAAAGTCAGCACACTGTTGATGTTTCGTAGTCAAATAGACAGCTCAAGATCCAAGTTCAGTGCTAAGAATTTACTGAATCTTTTTACAGAAAGGTATAGATGGGACTAGGAAGTCTGTGATCTCAGATCGAAACATTTTCCGAGCAACTTAAATCTCAATTACTTCAAAATGTCCTCTATTAACAGGTTAACTCACTATTTCGATAATTGCGTACATTAATCTATTAAAACATGCCATACAGCCTACATGACCTAATTCTGCACTAATTCTAAATAACACTACAGTGAATCAGAATATAATCGGAATGAACAACAGTATTGACAAGAATTTCAACACGGTCACAAAACGATCGAGTGAATTCAACGAAATAACGGGAACTATATGATACTAAGATAGTAAACACAAAGGATTTGACTGCTGCACTTTTAATTTTCATCTGAAACGAAAGAGCGACTAAACATTAAAAGAAGAGTTTGAAATATGGCAATTCCATTAACCATTTGTCAAATGGTTAAACTTATCGTATATCAATGCACATGAGTCGGGTCCGATAAGTGAATTCAGAAAGCAGTGAATATTGCTATGCACATAGATGGATCATGTGCTTTAATAGGACTTCAAGTTATCATTTTATTGCCTTCTGTTTACTAAACGTGATCCATCCAAATATATTGAGTATTTAAGTGGTAGAATTGAGCGGACAAATGGTGCCAATTCGACCTTACTGTGGCCGAGCAAAACAAATAATTCTCTTCTTTTTTCATAGAATACAAAGTGATCTCATATACATATCCAGTACCTCAAATAACAACTTGTGTGTTAGCAAGTCTTATCTTCCTGGTCTTCTTAGAACGGATCATATTCGAGACTGTAACCTGAAACGTTTATCAAGTAGTCGACTGGGACACTCTACCTCGAAGTTACACTAACATCACTGAACATCCGTTAAGAAAGAACAACCACAATGCTTACTGCAACATACCATGACCTTCTGTATACATGAAAACTAAATTGACCGCTCGGCAATTCAGTCTCAATTCAATTTCGGTTTTGGAAGGACAGGCTAGGTGGCCAAGTGTTGTCCTGGAGATGGTGATCTCTCAGCTGATCCAATTTGCTTTTGAGAGCGTAGACAAGTAGAACTTCAATCGAAAGCTGATCATAGCGACAGATCAGCTATTTTTTCATAGAATCAAGGAGAGCGATAGCTCTGAACCTAAAGCTCGTTTTGAGCATGACATTGTACTGATTAGGCAGTTGCTTAATCAAATCATGCCTCAAAATATGACCGGGGTCACCTTGCTAAAGGTGTACAGACTAGGGAGTCTAACGGACTCGAAACCAAATCATTCCAGACTGCTTAAATTAGTATTCGGCTCTTCGAACGAACGCGACCTAATTTTACAAAATGGACACAAATTAAAGGGTTCAGGAGTCTTTATCCGAAAGGACCTACCGTTGGCAGACCGTGTTAAAAGACGGGAAGCCGAGAAAGAACTACAACATAGGTTAGACGCTGGCGAAAAGGACCTGAAAATTGTAAATTTTCGGGTTGTAAGACTTCGACGGAGAATGATGCCGAAGCCACTCTGGGTGAAGCACGAAGGCACTTAAACAGGCTTCGGATCGGTTACACAAATGCACGAAGCTTACTTAATAAGCGATCGGAAGTAGGTGTACAGACTGACTCTACAAAGCCAGACATAATCGCAGTAACAGAAACCTGGCTGACACAGGCTATAGATAGTATGGAACTTGATTTCGAGGGCTTTACGTTAGTAAGGGCCGACAGAACACAAAAGCGCAAAGGAGGGAGAGTAGCTCTATTCATTAGGAATGCTATCCCATTTACCATTATCGATAGTGTATCCCATGAGAGTGGGACGTGTGAATTAGTTAGTCTTCGCTTAAAATGCAAGGGACAAGAGCTGCTGATTGGTTTGGTCTATCGCAGTCCAAGCTGCGAGGCAAATGAGATCCTGTTAAGCAGTCTCAATACTTGGTACCAAAGTGGTCGATGTCTAATCCTAGGGGACTTCAATGCACCTATGGTAGACTGGGAAAATCTGCGAACTAAATCGTCGGAGAATTCTTTCGAGCAGGAACTAGTTGATGGGGTTATCACATGTGCCCTAGTGCAACATGTGAAAGAAGCGACAAGGTACGATCCGGACACTGAATCATCCTTATTAGATCTTATACTGACTCACTATGAGGATGATGTTGCGAACCTCCATCATATGCCACCCTTAGGTAAAAGTGACCACGCAGTTTTAACTTTCGACTTCCATATAACTGCCAGTCATGAGGACGCGTCAGTCCAGTCCAGACCCAACGTCTGGAAAGCAAACATACCGTATATCATGCACTCAGCATCGTTAGTAGATTGGACAATAGACCCAGAGTCCTCCATTGAAACGGCCTGGGACGCATTTCGAAATTCATACTTAAAAGTTACCACACCTCACATCCCTTGGACTATACCAAAGAGGCCGAAAAACTGACCACCATGGTTCAGTAGGGAGGTCCGTATCCTTCTCCGTAAGAAAAGGAAATTGTGGGATAGATTTAGGTTACTGGGGACTGATGAGTCAAAATCTCAGTATCGAAAGGCTCGGAATACTTGTGCCTCGACCCTCCGTAAGTCTAGAAAATTGTACGAAGGAAAACTTGTTAAGGAATCTATAGAATGTCCTAAACGCTTGTATCCCTATATAAACCAAAGGACAAGGAGAAAAGGAAATATTCCTGCACTATGGGGAGACAGTACTGCTTCATCATTAGTGGAGGACGACTTTGGTAAGGCTCAAGTGTTCTCGAACTAATTTAGCAACGTATATACCATAGAAACGCCCTTCCCGTCAGCATATACAGATCCCCCCATACATACATTGGATAGCGTGACCATTAAAGAACTCGATGTCTTTGGTCTGCTAAATAAGCTTGACATAGGCAAATCCACGGAGCCCGATGAATTACATCCTAGGCTACTGAAGGAATTATCTAACTTCGTTGCAGGCCCTTTAAGTACATGCTTTAACCTTTCCGTTACGCAGGGTTGTTTACCAAAAGACTGGAAAAACGCCATAGTAAGTCCTGTCTTCAAAACAGGTACGAAACACAAATCTGAGAACTACCGCCCCGTTAGCCTAACTAGTGTGGTTGTTAAAATCTTAGAAAAGATTATTCGGAAGGAGCTGTTTAAGTATCTCGATAAAAACCGGATCCTCTCGGAGAAGCAGCACGGCTTCAGAATAGGTTATTCTTGTCTCACTAACTTATTAGTGGCTCGTGAAAGCTGTTGCGCTCTTAAGGACCAAAAGCTACCCGTAGACGTCGCCTTCATTGATTTCAGTAAAGCTTTTGACAAAGTTCCGCACAACCGGCTGTTATATAAGTTAAGAAAAGTCGGGATTGGAGGCAATCTATTGATGTGGATAAAAGACTTCTTAGTTGGGCGTCAACAAAGAGTTCGGGTGAACTCAAAGTTATCTAGCTGGGAAACTGTGCTTACTCGAGTGCTCCAGGGTTCAGTTTTGGGGCCAGTGCTATTCTTCTTGTATGTAAATGACATTCCTTGTCTCCTATCATCATCGGTCTTGCTATATGCTGACGATGTCAAGATATGGAGAACGATACGATGTAAGGGTGATAGCTTAGAACGCCAAAATGACCTGAAGAAGTTATCTGAACGGTCTCAAACATGGCAGTTGCCGATAAATACTTCCAAGTGTGTTGTGATGCATATCGGTCATCAAAGTGCAGATACATACACGATGAATAACACTGAGCTACCTGTCGTCCAGACATATAGTGACTTAGGAGTTATCGTTAGTCAAGACTTAAAGACTACTGCACACTGCCGTGCAATAGCCGCCAAAAGTTATAGAGCGTAATGGTCAATACGTGGGGCTTTTATTCATGTCGATGCTAAGACGTTTTTGACCTTGTATACAGTGTTGGTTCGTCCTAAACTTCAGTACTGCATTCAAGCGGCTAGACCCTGCTTAAAAAAAGACAGTGAGCTTCTGGAAAAGGTTCAGAGAACGGTGACTAAGCTGGTTCCCGGAATAGCGAAGCTTCCGTATGAATCTCGACTGGCCAAGCTGAACCTTTTCCCGTTGTCATATCGCAGAACTAGAGGTGACTTGATTACAGTCTACAAATTGCTTAGTGATAAATTTGCACCCAATATGCCCTCATTTTTCTTGTCTTCCAAAACAGAGAATTTACGAGGACATGTAGAATTATGGTCTACTATGATATTAGTACTGCTCTAATAATAGACCTAATCCTGAAATTGTAGATTTGTCATGATATAACTGCCTAATCTATAAGATCTTACGTGGAAGTCACACCATCGACTACACCAGCTGACTGTATCGTATCAATTACCAATACATGATGAGGAACAAGGTTAGGCTAGAGAAAGAACAATATATTTAATATGAATAGAAGATATAAGGTAACATTCAGCAGAGACCACGCCTGCATGGCCGAGCCATGCCACTCGATCAACTCCAGTCCATTCAATTCATTCTCCGCGCTTTTTCCATTGTTAGGTATTTCCCCGAGTTAAATATTGAATATCTATTTTCTGAGTAGTCTCGTGTTCACAGCTTTGTGGATTGTGTGGCTATTGTCCAATGCCACTACAGACACTCCAAAAAAGTTCACAAGCCGAGAACAAATTACTTGTCAGCTGACTATCGACTTTCCCATCGAATCATCAACGAGTGGAATTCACTACCTCAGCACGTGGTTGAGGCTCCATCCGTCGACTCTTTCAAAAGAAATTTGGATCAACTGAGAGACCACCATTGCCAGGACTAACATAGGCCATCGAGCCTCCTGTCCTTCCCAAACTGAAACTGAAACGTGTTGGGATGGTGGATTCCATTCGTTGATGATTCGATGAGAAATTCGATAGTCAGATGCTAAGTAATTTATTCTGGGATTGCGAATTTTTTCAGTGTCCTTGAAAATTTTATATTCAGAAAGACGAGAAAAATGAGAGTATATTAAATACAAACTTGTCACTAAGTAATTTAAAAACTGTGATCAAGTCACCTCTGATTCTTCTTTATGACAATGGAAGTAGGTTTGGTTTAGCCAGTCGAGTATTGTACGGCACGTTTGCCATTCTGGGACTCGACTCAGTCGCGGTTCTTTGAACCACAGGGTTCCAGACCTTTTAGTGGCTATATCACGGCATTGACAGTAGTTTTTATATTTCGATAGAGCAACTACAAGACGGAGTCGATCTAACCGTTCTATCAAAATTTATAAAAGTAACTAATTACTTTCGAATTGTTTTTAAGCCCCAGGCAACGATGACCTATAGATCATTGTGTGTTCGGATAACATGTAGCTCAGTTTTATTCATCGTATTTGTCTCTGTGCCCGGTGATCAATATAGATCATAATGTTCATGGATGTACTTATCAGCAACTGCTGTATTCTAGACCATTCTGGTAATTTCTGTAGATCATTTTGCAGCTCTTAACAGTCACCCTTATTTTCTGTCGCTTTCCATATCTTGACATCGTTAGCATATGAAAAGGCCGGTGATGATGTGGGACTAAGAAGGTCATTTACATACAGGCGAAACAACAGTGGTTTTATAACTGTACACTAAGGCACTTCGATAAACACAGTTTTACAGCTAGAGAAGTTTCAGTTCACCTGTACTCTTAGTTGGTGCCCAGCTAGGATATTCTTTATCATAATAAATAAAATGCCTCTAGTCCCAATGTTACCTGGCTTACATAGCAGCTGGTTGTGGGGGACTTTGTCAAAAGCCTTGCTCTAATCAGTATAGGCTACACCTTTAGATAACTTTTGATCTTTAAAGTAGCATCAACCTTCATGTGCTTCTAATAATATGAGTAACCTGCTCTAAAACCACGCTGTTTTTCCGAAGAAAATTCGGCCTTATTCGAGATAAGTAGACGGCTCCTTCCAAGCAATATTTTCTAAGATTCTAACAACCACGCTTACACCTGTTTTAAAGATACGTCTTACTATAGCATATTCTAGTCTTTCGATAATCCATTTCGGATTACAGATAGAGTA